GGCGGGAGCTGGGGGGGGCCCCCGGGGGGGGGGCAGAGGATGAGGCTGAGGGGACATCCCGTGGGGGGGCAGCTGGGGCTGAGGGGAGACCCTGGGGGGCAGAGAGGACAGGGCTGAGGGGAGACCCGGGAGGGACAGACACAGCTGGAGCTGAGGGGAGACCCCTGGGGGGGGGCAGAGGATGAGGCTGAGGGGACATCCCGTGGGGGGACAGCTGGGGCTGAGGGGAGACCCTGGGGGGCGTCTGGGTCCTCGCAGTAGCACACCCTGCAGCCTTTCCGGCCATAAACTGTTCAAGGCTTCTTAGAAAAAACTGAATGTTTCTGTCAGTAGGTTTATTTTCTCACTGTTGTGCTTTGCTTTAATTTACCGTCATTACGCATCTGGCACTGTGTAGTTCTGTTCTGTAGGTTACTTGGCTATTTCCATCTTAAAATCCAAGGAGGGACATTTTTTTTCCCTCTTAGGTTATTTTCCAGGTTCTTCCAATGTTCACCTTGCATCAAGTGCTGAAAGTATATATGCCTAGGCGGTGGAAAAACTGTCCCTAGAGTTTGGGGATAGAAGAGAATTGCAATATACATACATTTCATTTTCCATATCCCTGTAACCTGGAAATCCTTCTTTTTGCCCCCCCCCCCCCCCAAATACGGAATAGATTAAAATTATCTTTTTAGATCGGACTCTCCCTTATGCATAAATAAAACTACGATGTTCTGTAATATACCATAAGTCTCCTAATAGAGGTTGGGGATTAAAGACTAACTCTACCAACTACTTGATGTAAAAGTTCTGTGATATTTTTGTCTTTTCTCTCTGCAGATAAAGATCTACAGTTTCACATTGTTAAGCAAGCTAGAGCTCAAAGTGCGAAAGAAGGTACAGGCTACAGTGAAGGTAGGTAGCAAGCAGATACTGAGACAACTTCATCAGCTGTTCTGTGAGAGCTGCTCTTCTCTCCCCCCTTGCAGCTTCCTTCATGCTACTTGTGAACTGCTGTGACCAATTTTTTATTTATTTTTAATATTCCTTCCCTTGTATATTTTGGAGCATAACTACTTTCTCTACTCGGGGCAACTAGATAAGAGAATTTGAATCTGTTGTACTCACACCTCTAGTTCTCTTCAGGACTGGAAAATCAACACTGCAAAATTCAGGAGCTTCTTAAAGCACCAGTCCTTCACTTCCCATCCCACTACCTACACTTTGCTTTCTGCCTGTGTTTTTCTGATGTTATCCTTCTGCTCTTTATAGCCCAAAGTCTTCTGATGCTGCCTCCAGCCTTGTTCTTCATGTAATGTTTTGATTAAGGATTAATTGCTAGACGTGAGCTGTATGTACTTGCTCACTGCTCCTCAGATGAAAACCCAAACAATATGCATGTTATTATGTTGGATTGTTTCAAGACTGTCCTAAGAAGTTGTATAAGAAACATGCTGACACATCCGGAAATACGATGATGTCCTTTGCCACTGCTCTCAGCTCATTAGTTCCTTTGTGTTTCATTTTTCAGTGAGTTTTGTGAGCAATCTGGGGACCAGGTTAAGACTGAGCTATGCTTTTCTTTGAGAGTTCAGACCCAGACAGAACAGAAAAGTAGGGCTACCTACAGAAACCACTGTAGAGCTGCAGTGTATGGTTTGGAAATTACTGCAGCACCTGAAAGGCACAGCATTTACTGTCTGTACTCTTTTAGTTTGGTAAACATATATATGCAGAAGGAAAAGTGCATTTGTTCTACTTTCCTGACAGTCATATACAGCAGTGCTTGCTCAGGCATAGTTTTTAATGTTGTCTTTGCTTCTCTGGCATATTGAATAGAGCCTTAACAGACAGTTACTTGGGAAGGAGCTTCCATGTGATGGGCACTGTGTTTGGAGCACGTCGGGTGCACTTTCTCTGGAGGGAAGTGGTAAGGCGTTCATTTGACACCAGCACATCCAAGTAGAGAAGAGACAGATAAACAAACCCTTTATCAAGTGGTGAATCGCAAAGGTACCTCCGTGAGCCACTAGATGCCAGTGTTTGCTGTCCAGTTTTCTCTGCAAGCTTGCATTTCTCTGAAGGCAACAGTAAAACTATATTGGGGTGGTTTTCCTTGTGGTGTTTTGGCCCATTGTAAGATCTACTGACTTGGAACTGTTTGTTTAATTTAAAGTCTTTGGCAACAGAAACAAATGGAAAGCATTTTTCGTTGTAAATTTCCTTTTGACCTTTCCTTGGCCCATTGTAAGATTTACTGACTTGGAATTGTTTGTTTAATTTAAAGTCTTTGGCAACAGAAAAAAAATGGAAAGCATTTTTCATTGTAAATTTCCTTTCAACTGTATCAAAGGAAGTAATTTTCTTTCTTTGTTGTTAAAAAAATTCTAACCATATTTAGAATATTAGAATACCTAGGTAATAGGGTCTTAATCCCAAGCTGTGAAATTCTTGTAAAATCACAAGCACGTAACTATTAGGGCACTTTTATGGGCTTCCGTGACCCTGTAAGAACAGTGCATTCTAAAGGTAAAATTCTAGTGTTCATGTTTCAATCTGTTAGTTCGGCTCATTCTAATCTGTTCTGGTTTAGGCTCCAGGTACAGCAATGAGGGAATCCTGTATTTTAGGTTTGTTGTTGTAGGGTTATTGTGGCTCCTCCTCTTCTTCTGTGTCTTTAGTGAAAGCAGGATGTGAAAGATTGCCCAGCTTCTGTTAAGTGCTGAATCACCTAGAGAAGCCGTAGCTTTGCTGTTGTGAAGGCTCCTGCGTATGCCCTGTTTTATGTGTTGGCTCTTCTGTCTGCTGGGAGGCGTGTGCCTGTGTGGGATTGTGCCTTGCAGGGCGAAGGTTGCATTTGGGGAGCAGGACTATGGAGGTCAGGTCAGTCGTCGCAGGCAATCTGAATGTTCTGGAGCAAAAAGCTTTCCTGCAGGCAGTACCCTAGAATACTGCATCCTGTATCTTTAGGGAAGTCGCTGTGCTGCTGTTGCAGCGGATTGAGAATGAATTTATTGTTTGTTTGGAGGATGTGTGTTTTAACCGAGGAATGGGAGGAGTGAGTTCTGGGCTGACCATTGGGGAAAGAAGAGTGTGCAGGCAGTGTGTTTGGTTTTGTAACTTTGAAGTCAGTTGTCTGAACTAATCTGGAGCATATTGAAAGTGCCTTGGTTGCCCTTTTAGCTATAAATGCCTGTGGCAGTCTGTTAGAAAAGCTCTGTAGAGGAAGTGACAGTGTGATTGAAACTGATTAGCACAGTGCCCAGTTGATGGTCTCCTAGAAGCTTCCATTCTCGTTGGCAGAACAACAGGTATTTTGCAGTGAGTACTTCAGAGAAAACTTTAGGAGTAAGATGAACCCACAAGTTAAGAGCTGCAGCCTCCTCTCTCTTGCTTTAGCTTGTAAGCCAGGAGCTGAAACTGATGGGACAGTACAGAGTGTCCTTGTGATCTAATCTAGTACACTCCCTTCGAAGCATATGAAAGCCTGTAACTAACAGCCTAAGCAGTCAAGAGAGGTTGTACACCCTGTGTGGGGCTGGGGAGGGATTTGGGCCTTTTTTTTTTTTTTTTTTTCTTTTTTCTTTCTTTGAGCAGTTGTATCCTTTCAAATTAAGAAGTCTGAAACTTCTTACAGATATGTAGAGGAAGGATGAAAACAGCATGGGTGTTTACTGCATTGTTCATTGGGCTTCTCAGTGTTTTCCATTATTATTATGCTATTTTACTAGTAACGGCTGTCTGTTCAACCTCCAGGATCTTACTCGTTACTGCCTGTAGAAGTTCCGCAAAATCACAAGCGTTTCACCTGTGACCTGACTCAAGCTGATCGCCTTGCTCTTTATGATTATGTTGTTGAGGAAACAAAGAAACAGAGGTCTAGATCCCAAATCACGGAAAATGACAGTGACCTCTTTGTGGATTTAGCAGCAAAAATCACCCAAGGTTTGAAGAACGGTCTCTTGTTCAATTCATAGCTCAGAACTTTCATTTTGTGTAGTTAGATGTGTTTTGTTGAAAGCCAAAGATAATCGCTTGTGCTATTTTTGTTGTGAAAAGCATACTGTTCTTAAAAGCCACAACAAAGCCCTGGCATCAGAAAACACTAGTTTGGTATCCTTTACATTGTTTTCCTTCTGTGAAAGCCTTGGTGCTCTGCTCTTGGCCCACGTGTTGTGTGTATCTTAGTGGATGGATCTTTTGTTTTTGCTGCAACTGACTTCAGGTTGCTTAATGTTGGCAAGTTCCTGCACACCTTGGAACAGTATTCTGTATAAGAGATGATGAGATTGAAGATCACTTAAGAGTAAAAGCCGAACAAGAGAGGTTGGCAGTCATCTGATGGAGCTCTTGAGCAATATACAGATGGGTGTATTGGACTGAGGCCTCTCATCCCTCTTGAGTCATGCCAGTTTGTAACCATACCAAATGCAACGTAAGCATCTGTGTTATCCTGTGGGCCTTGCCATGCCTAGGAAGTAGGAGATTGCCTGAGTAGATGACAAACACTAATGTTTTACATAATCTGACTTTCTCAATCTTTGTGTCTTACTGTAATACTGGCTTTGAAAACAGAGGCCTGTATTTTGTAGGCGTTTGACCAAATCACAAGTCCGTATATTGATTTGGATCGCTGTCAGGAGACTGAGATCATTTAATGATGTTTGCTTGGTCACTTTTTAGTCTTGTGTAAACAGCTAGCAAGAAGGTTGGAGAGGAAGCTTATGCTAAATTCATAGCAGTTACTAAATACTGGAGAAACTTCAGAAAGAACACATTACGTTTTATGTTTCAGACTTTTATCAGTAATAAGCATTAGACTTGCATACCTGCAGGTGCCAATGTCCTGCTCACAACAGTTTGTTTTACTTCCAATTTTTTCCTAGATGACAGTCAGAAGGGTCCAAAGTCCCATCTTGAAATTCTGGCTGAAATGCGAGACTACAAAAGGCGGCGGCAGTCATACAGGGCTAAGAATGTTCATATAACAAAGAAGTCTTACACTGAGGTGAGTATCTGAAGAGAGAGCTATGATTTTTTTGCACAAAAGTGCGTATTTTATATCAGCATTAGCAATGGTAATACCCTTTTAGACAAGGAAAAATGTCTGTCTTTCTGCTGCCTTATTATAATGAGTTGCAAACTGTAGAGGAATCTTTTGGGGTTTGCTTTTGCAGCAAGCTACAAACAACAGCAGAATTTCTGACTATTAAATTTTGAATGTGAAAATACCAAGAAGATATAGTTTACTGTCTGTTGTAAAATGATGCTTTTAAACTTACGCTGAGATGCCTGTTTCTGCAAATAAGTCTTTCCACTGAAACATGTGACGTGTAGGTTTTTGGGGGAATTTTTTGCTGAGATGTATACCTTCTGCTGTCTAGTTGCTAGTTCAGGCCACTGCCATAACACACTGCTTTTTTTGTTGTTTGTTTTTAATATGTCTTAATCTCCAGGTGATTCGGGATGTGATTGGTGTGCATATGGAAGAACTCAGCAATCACTGGCAGGAGGAGAGTAGGTTGGATGATGCAGAGATATGTGAAGGAGGGAAGTCAAAATCTTCAGGGAGGTATGTCACAGTTGGCAAATCCCTCGGGGATGTCAGCAGCCTGATAGCCTGTCATGTTATCCTATTACGTCTTTCTAGCACATTGAACTTGGCATCAACTTGACATCAGCCTTGGCTGAGACATATACACAGTTTATTTTCTACTAATTCTGGTAAGCTCTTGTTTGAGAAGCTCTGTCTGCATGAAGGATGGGGAAAAGTGAATGATTAACTTTGTTCCGGGGGTAAGGAGGTAAGCTGCAAGTGAACAGGTAGTTTCTGCTGAAGCTGGGGAATGAATATGAGTCCCTCTGTGTCCAGCTGCATATATATGTGGTGGCTGGGGACAGAACAATGCTTGAAAATACAAGTACGCAATTTTTTCCCCTTCCCTACCACATGACAGGAAATGCTATGGTAAGTGTATTATAATATAAAATAACTTGGAGAAAAGGTTTTCATAACTTACTAAATATGGGGACCCTTTGCAGTTCTTACCACTGTGAATGCTGCTGTGCTAACTGGGAGTGTGGTGTATGTATACATACTTCGTCCTGTGTCAAGCAACACTGCACAGTCTTCCAAACATCTGTTGCCGAAATAAAAACGGAATCGTGACCTAGTGATAGTGACATAGTGACAACCTAGTCCTGTGCTGCTTCAGGAGACCTTTGAGATGAGTGTCACCTTTTCATTTGTTTCAACATTTTCAAGGTGTTTGTTTTTAGCATTACAATGAAGGTGAATGAAAAGGCCATACAGGAGATCAGGCTTGCTGGGCTCTCCAGCTGTAGGTAGCAGCTTAGGGCAGGTGGTTGAAGAGGTAGGGATCTGAAGGAAAACAGAGCAAACTCCTTCTACTGTCTCCTGTTCCATGAGCAGAGCTGATAAAACCAAAGGGCAGTGTTTCTAAGAAAACTCGATTAAATAGTGTGCCGAGATGTGCACATATAAGAGCACGGACTTTGGGCCTCCTTTGGGAGGTATTATTTTCCCTAGGGAGATAGAGAGGCTTAACAAAAGATACATCCTCTGTCTTACACCCTTAGTTGGTCATTATAGTACAAAACTGGTACTGAAAACCATAGTGACTGTGAAACTATTGAATAAAATCAATAACCTTTTATTTTCAGAAAGGAAGACAGGCGGTCAGTTTCAGTGGAGTCACGACAGTCTGGAGGAAGCTATAAGGATACTGAACGCGCCAGACATAGAAGAGAGAGCAGCAGGAGTCCAAATAAACGAAAAAGGAGTCGTGAGAGAGGCAAAGACAGAGATTCTCGGAGAAAAAGAGAGAGGTGAGCCTAAATAGTGCCAGCTGACTCCTGCTTCTGAATCGGGCAGCTGTAGCCATTGGCTGTGAGAACAGAGTATAGAGTTAAAAAGCTAGACTAAACTCATACAGTATAACAAACTGGTGGCATGAGGCTACTCATACTAAACAGAATTTGCTGTAAGATCATAAACTGTGATCCAGACTTCAGAATTTACTCTCACATCTGAAAGGTGACACTTTCCACAGCACGCTACGGGATTAGCACAGGACTGTTGCAGGGTATTTTACTTCTTGATCAACATGTGCACAGGGAGACAATTGTCCATTTAACCAGTTAAGTGTGCTTGTCATGTCTAATACTGATTTCTGCTTAATGGGATTTTTGTCTCACCAATATTACAGAACCATAGAGTCACTTAGGTTGGAAAAGACCTTTGACATCATAAAGCCCAACTGTTAACCTAGCACTGCCAAGCCCACCACTAAACCATGGCCCTAAGCACTTCCCTGGGCAGCCTGTTCCAGTGCTCAACAACCCTTCGGGGGGGGAAGAAATTTTTCCTAATATCCAATCTAAACCTCCCCTGGCACAACTTGAGGCAATTTCTTCTTCTCCTGTCTCCCGTTACCAGGGAGAAGAAACTGACCCCTACCTCGCTACAGCCTCCTGTCAGGCAGTTGTAGAGGGCGATAAGGTCTCCCCTCAGCCTCCTCTTCTCCAGGCTAAACAACCCCAGTTCTCTCAGCCGCTCTTCGTAGGACTTGTGCTCCAGACCCCTCACCAGCTTGGTTGCCCTTCTCTGGACATGCTCCAGCACCTCAAGGTTCTTCTTGTAGTGAGGGGCCCAAAACTGAACACAGTATTTGATGTCTGGCCTCACCAGTGCCCAGTACAGGGGCGTGATCACTTCCCTGCTCCTGCTGGCCACACTATTCCTGATACAAGCCAGGATGCTGTTGGCCTTCTTGGCCACCTGGGCACACTGCCGGCTCATATTCAGCCATATGTATATACATTCAGTCATTTGACTAGCTTTTCCATGGCAGATGCTTCAAAACAATGCTGTTGCTCTTCAGTAGTTCTGGACATCTTTTTAGGCAAAAGAAAACAAATCTAGGCCACACCTTCTAATACCATCAACAAGGGCACCTTTGCATCTGCAAGCCTGTAGGTGTGTGGGACCTGTGTTTGAGCAAAGACTGAGGCTGTCATGCAGGAGAAATGGTGCACTGTCCCTAGTGTGGAAGGGAGAAATGCTGTAGATAACTGCATGGAGAGGAATGCATGCTTGTCTCAAAATTGCCTTCACTACACAGTGATGCCATTCATCCTAAACTAATTGCCACTATGGCACCGCATGACAAAACTTTGATTAAAACCTCATGGGAAATAAACTGTCTTAAAGTAGTTTACTCTCTTTCCTTAGAAGAGGACATGATGGCATTTATTGTTACTGTTGTGGTTTCACCATTTCCTTTTTCCAAGTCTGTCTTTTTCTGTCTTTTTTTTTTTTTTTCTCCCTTCAGATTCTGTCAGTCAACCTAACAGCACACACAATGTTTGTGTTTTTGTTTCAGGGATGAAGACAAATATCACAGCCATAAAAGAAGAAAGTAGAAACAAAAACCTGAGTATTTTGTTTGTCAGCTGTTCAAAAAAATTACATGCACCAGAACTATTGTTACTGCTGTTGTGCCGGGGACAGTCATGCTGTGTGCCTAATACTGGTTTTGCATCACAGCTGAGCTTGGAGACAAAAATGCAGTAGTGTTACGGTTCATCAGGATGGAAGCAGTATGTATCAGAAAATGCGTAATACTAATGCATCTATGAATAAATTATATTGATCTCTCTTACCTCTTTGAGCTTAGTCTGACAAGGCTGAAGAATGAGATCTGTGAGAGACTGTACTCATTTGACTTCCTGGCTCATAGTTGGTGGATATAGGACAGAGCTAATCCTTGGAGTTGAGGATCAATTGCAAGTGAAAAGGCACAGAGAGCTCCCCTCCCACCTGGCGGTGTCACCGCTGGGAGCAGTGTTCCAGAGAGACAGCACTTACTGCATCATTACAGCGTGTGCCAGAGGTGAGAGGGCAGATTTCAGAGTTCTCCAAGAGGCTAAAATAGCTTTAGCTGCAGCTAGTGGTACAAGGGCAATAGCGGGGAAAGGCTGTTGTTCCCAAGCTCATGCCCAAAGAAATTTAGGATTGATGATGAGAATTACAGCTCTCCACAGAAACCAGCGGGGAGGTTCCAAGGACACTTGTAATATTACTGAGTGCTATTGTCAAACACTGGGTGCATACCCATTTCCTTCCAGAAATAACCAGGAGGAGTTCCCAGCCTGTAGACTAACATGTAAGTATTAGTGATAGAGGTTGATAAAATGGTAAGATGTGCAGGTACATAGTAAGGGTGTGCAGGAGGATTCCACTGCACTTCAGTGATATTTTTAATATAATAACTTCTAGTCCTGTTAATTCTTCACACAGCCTGCTACAGCATGGTCAGTCATCATCAGCTAAGTGTGTTACTTCAACAAAGTAAGCAACCGTAAAAGAAGAAGGTTGCAGATCCATCCTTCCTACAATACTTTCTTCTGTTTGATGGAGTTGCCAGGTGAGGGCACTCCATATGCTCCTGGTTTTGGCCTTCTCCAGTACTGGAATTTTTCCAGTTTTACTGTAGCCACTAGTATCCTGACTCTTGCCTCAATTGTTTCTGCAATTAAGTATGATTATCTGTCACTCAATACTTAGTGTAGCTCTGGTTGATTTAGACTTCTGTACCTACTACAGCTGTACAACTGAAAATGAAACTGAACTATGTGTCAGGTATTTCCTCACCAATGTGACAAATGCAGTAGCTTTTCCTGTCAGAAAACAAGGTGTATTTTAACAGATCCTTCCTTAGATGGACTTTTCTAATTATACATTAGAGGGCTGTCCTTTCTCAAGTTGATGTTTCTTCCAGCAGCTCAGCCACAGGGTTCTTCATGTTGAGTGAGGCTCGGTAGAACTATTCATTTAATAGAGCTTGTTCAGTCAGACAAGGTAGTCAAAAAAGAAGCTGTATTTGTGTAAGAGTCAAAAGAAGTCAGTGCTATCCAGAAGCATAATGAGAAATGCACCAATCCCAGCTGTCCAGTCTTCTCTAAACTGAATTTTGTGGATCACTTCTTTTCTTACAGTCACTTATGAAGTAACAAAATACATTTTACTCCATATAAACAGAGGAGCAAAGGCATCGCTCCCTAGGTGTGAGCATCCATATCTGAGAGGCAGGAGAACAGTATAACCATGTATTCAATTAACATCCACTGAAGGGCCGTTTCAAGAGTGGGATAAAGAAAAGGAAGTGCCAGGGATGAGGATCTTCTTGTAGTGTGCAAGTAACGGTCCTCTGAACACAAATTATTTTCTTGCATGTATTTATTCCTTTTTTTTTTTTTTTCCTCCCCTCTCACCTGGTGCCAAATAATAGGCTTGATCAAAAGAGTGTTGAGGGCTGGGTCAGAAAGTTTCTGAGCAACACCATGCCAGTTTGTTGGTCCCTGGAAAGGAATAAACCAAATGTTTTAGAACAACACTTTAACATGGTAAATCCTAGTGTGTTGGACAAGATACAATTGAGAGTTATATGAATTGCAAGTGAGAGCAGTGTGATTAAAAAGTGGGTTTCACTAAGAATTTGTCAATCTGGTAACTAATGACAAAACAAATCGGTTCTCTTGTGTGCTTGTGAATTTTTGAGCTCCCATGTACATGGAGCCGGTAGCAATGTAAGACAGAAAACCCAATTCTAGATAGATGGTAGGAAGAGTCAGTATCTGTCTGCAAACAGGCCACATGGGCAGCATGTGGAAGACAAGCCTGTTACAGATCTTTTAAAACCGGTTAAAAATAAAGTGCATATTATGTGACCCAGGTGCAACTATGGATAAAATGAGTGGGCGTTTATCCCTGAGCACGTCATGTTCATACATCCCTAATGCTAATTCCATGCTAATTCTAGCAGGAATATATGCATTATCTTGATGGATCCTTTCCTCCATCTGCTAAAATGTTACGAGGTTTTGCCACTGAAGTTTGTGGGCACAAGACTTCACATAACCAATCCAAGTCTATCAGAGATGAGATTTTTCACCTGTCACAGCATGAGTTAGGTCTAGTTAGCAGAGCTGTTAGCACAAGCTATGAATTTTAAGTTTTTGCTGCTGTAGGAGTTGACAAAAATATGATCAACCATCTGTCTAAAGCAACAGAATAGCGTTGGTGTGCTCAAGAAAAAAGGTGGCCAGACTCTGTGGGCACCCTGTTGATCATCAGGATGTGCAGGTGTCCAGAAGTACTCAGAACAAAGAAGCTGTGAGCCCCAACGACAGCAGGTCAGAAAATGGCAGTGCACTTCGAATGGACTGTTCATCAACAGGGTTATTCTATACCCAATCCTGTAAGAAGGTCACCTAATAATTTTAGGGGAAACCATCATTTGCTAACAAACTAGTCGAAGTCTAGAGGTGAGAATGGGGTTGCCTCTTCGTTATGAAGCAAGCCAGAGGTTACCCAACAGCACAGAAGAGCGCTGAGCACAGCTGTCAGCGATGGCACCGTGGATAGCCACACTGAGTTTTTGCTTAACCTTCAACCTGCACATTTCCTGCTGTGAAGAACCATGTCGGTTCATGGCTTACTGACGAGACCGACACTAAGCTATAAAGCCAATCCCAGAGCAAGCAGACAGAGACACAGGACAGATGGGAAATACACTGAACCACCCCAGCTTGGTACAAAGAGCAAAACAGGATGAACTTTTCAGGTGGGACTATGTCCTTTATGTCCACTGAAGGCAACAAACACTAAGACCGTTCCAGGAAGGACAATTTACCATAGCTATCACTACAAAAATTCAAGAGCCAAGCCATTTAAGACCAAGCGTGCACTAAATATTTCCTCAACAAAACTTCCAGGGAGAAGAAATCCAGGAAAGACATGACAGAAACTTCAGACTTCAGGTGGGGCCTCCCAGTTTCTCTCTCTGATTTATGGTCTACATTAAATCAAAAGAGCAGCCTGTAAGATGCTGCTGGTTCCAGTACCAGTAACATGCAGACGATACAAACCTGTGTATAATTGCTTACCACAGGGAAAACTATACCACCAGGTCGTGACTTCAGTATTTCAAAGGAAGATGGATAAATCATAATTTACCATTTAACAGTTCAAACCCCGATGTTGACCACTTAACAAAAAAAGAACTATGTGCATTTTCAACATAACCTTAGTCAACCTTTACTCCTGTCATTGTGGCTACGCCCAAAGTGAAGACAGACAATTCACCTGAAATTAAAGGATTATGGAGAAGCCAGAGGTGACCCATACATTCAAATTCCATGCACAGATTTTTACTCACGCTTGTTCTTTAATTCTGTGGAGGAACGCTTCCCTTTTCTCCTCTGGTATCTCTCCATCGATACTGGCCAAATAGGAGTAGAGGAACGAGAACGTTTCGAAGGGAATGCGAGCTGCTCCGCCCTCTGGGTCCCTTGTTAAGATTTCACAGGCATGTTTCATTGAACTCAGTAAGGACTGTAGGGGGTTCAGCCAAGAAACGAAAGGAACGGTATCAGAGCCAGATTATCCTTACCTCTTCCTTAATAAGCAAGCAATAACTTTGTTAAAAACAAGTATTTCCCAACAGTAGAACAGCAGTATTTAAACACAGTATCTGCTCAAGACCTAGAACACAGGCCAGAGAAGTGACACTTTACAATCCCTTCGCTGTTCTACTGAGCATAGGTCCTCCCCTGGGAGGCCTCTGCAGGGAAGGAGAGGCAGCCGCCTCCCTGAAGCAGGCTCTACCCTCCGTGGTTTCCTACCCCTCTACTCCCGTTCCTGCTCCTGCCCCTCCAAGCTGCCCCTCGCTCGCCCTCGCAGCGCAGCAAAGTTATTCACATCGATTTCCCCGCCTGCCAAAGCCAGCTTAGCAAGGCTGCTCGTGCGGTTGTTTCTCCAAGGCAGTAGGTACACATCAGTGCTTTACAGAAAGAAACCTCAGGTGACTGGTGTTTTTAAGAAGCTCATCCTTGTCTACTCTGGTTCTTACCCGTGACCCTATTCAACCATGCACGCAATCTACAGCTGCAGGAAAAGGAACATGAATTTCTTGTGTGCGTCTTCCTCTCTGCTTTAGGAAACTTAAGCTTAGGTTTCAATAGGCAGAACAGAAATCAAATCACTCACGGAATATCTGAAAGGATGGATAGATGGAGGTAAATTTAGACTGTCTAGCTCCATCAGAATGATGTTCCTGTGGCTCTGATTTTGGTTTTAGGTTTTTTTTTTTTTTTTAACAAGTAATGTTGCTGTTACTTTTCCTTTTTTTTAATGAAAAAGAACACAAACTACAAAATCACGTTGGGATGTGGATCGGAATCAAGAAATACACAGCTGAAATGAATAAATATATACATATACACAACTGCATCACCAGGCCAGGTTAACATTCAGGGCTTCCAGATATATTGCAACATTCTCAAAATATTATTTAACACATATTTTCTTTTTAGTACCCCTTCTTCCCTACTGTAGAAGCCATTACAAATATTATACTTCATAAGAACATCAGCTTAGTGCATTTTATAATCTCTCATTCTGTTGAAATGCTCTGCTGAGATTTAATTACTGACATTAAAAGAATTAAAGGTAGATTTAGTAACATTAACTGCTGCTGTGAAAATTTAATTGACTACACAATCAATTAGAAATTGATGTTTTAATTTCTCCCTCTAGTTCTCTTCCCTGGATGTTTACAGGGATGCCATAAGCATCATTTCTCCATCATCCTGTCTCTCATGGTCCAAGCTCCCTGTGGACATCCTTGCCCTTCTACTGCCATCCCAGTAAACTGACGACTCAGCCCTCCTTCTGGTTAAGCCCCCCTGACCAAAAGCTGATGGGGAACAGAAGTAAACATGCAAGCCATTTCACCAGCTGCTGCAAAAGCAATCACCGTTGCCTAAAATCCATTTGCATCAGTTGTTCTATGGTCTACTTCATAAACGACCATTTGCGTGTGGGTAGGAGGGCTCCTGCTATGAACGTACCCCGCCGAGCATGCTGCACCCAAGTGCCAGAACCTTCATCCATTCCACCTCCTCGCCGAAGTCGTCCAACTGCAGGAGAGCTTTCAGTTGCTCCTCTGGCAAGCACAAGTGCTTCCATTTTTCCTTTAGTTCTGCAACATTCACCGTGCCTTTGGGAGAAAGCTTTAAACAAAATCATGGTACCACAATTAAGAACTCCGAAAACCAGAATGAAACTAAGGACACAGTTCGTCTTCAAAATACAGCAAATACTTGGCAGTTGGTCTCCCCAACCATCCCCAACGTTCCTCGACAGCATTGTGCATTTGATAAAGGCTGGTTTGTACCTGTTTGTGCAAGATTTTAAGGAGTCCTGGGGTCAAAGCAGCATCTGTTTTCTCTGTCGCTAAAGGCATTTCAATCCTCTCCTTCACAGGAAGGGGCTCGCCTTTTGACAACGCTGAAAAATACCTAAGTGAACAGGAAGAGCAACAAACTTCAGTGCCAATGGCCATTACAAGCTGCATGGAAGCAAATGCTGTTACAGTTCAGTGAATGAATCCGCACGCTCCCAAGCGGGAGCAGCAGAACATGGCAAGCCACTCCCTCACCCAGCTCCCACCTCCCCCTGCCCAGATACCACCCTTCTTCTTAGCAGGCACCGCTAAGTCTAAAGATCGTTAGACTTTACACACTCCTTTTTATGACGCCACAATAATTCTTAAGGCATCTAACTAATTTCGTGCATGATTGATATACTCAGCCCTGCTTGGCAAAGGCAGAGAGTGATTTATGAACATCAGAGTGGGCCTGCAAACCAAAGCGCAGGCTTTTCCCATTTGATTGATGAGCACCTTAGGGCTGATTTGTTTAACATCCTTCCCCCTCACAAGCGACCCAAAAAAGCATGAGTGGCTATTTACGCTGCAACTCTCTCATCAGCATTTCTGTCCACTCCAAAATAAAATTTAAGACTAGGGCAGAAGGGGAATCAGATTTACACCCTGTTAATTATAAGGCTGCCACCACCTTAAAAGCAACCGCCTCTGCCATAACTGGCCGGCAACCTGAACCGTGCAAAAACCCTTTAAGTTTTCATTCAGTCAGGAGCGGGTCTAACTTAAGGGTTTCTCCACTCGCCCTCCCTCATCCGCCCTGGTCACCCACATCCATGCCCAGGCTATCCCATGCTGTGCAGATACTTTGCAAAATGCACAGCAAGCAGCGCTGCAGAAGTGAAGCAGCGTGATGGCGTAGAAACAGACGCACAGTACGCATGTACATACAACGCCGTGGCTATTTTTCAGCCTGATCCGTTTCCCCATCTGATTATTCACAGGGACAAGCACTGCAGCATCGGCAACGTGTGTGAAACCACAGCCCTGCTCTGCTTCGCGTGGCTCCCTGGTCCAGACCGTGCCCGGCCCCAGGTGCTCTCACGCCAGAGCAGATTCCAGAAAGAGGTGCTCGATCAGCAGCAGCCGCCCACCCATTTGCAGGGGCTCCTCCAACCCAGCTGGTGCGATCTTTATTTTAATCTTCAAATCACTCACGGAATATCTGAAAGGATGGATAGATGGAGGTAAATTTAGACTGTCTAGCTCCATCAGAATGATGTTCCTGTGGCTCTGATTTTGGTTTTAGTTTTTTTTTTTTTTTTTAACAAGTAATGTTGCTGTTACTTTTCCTTTTTTTTAATGAAAAAGAACACAAACTACAAAATCACGTTGGGATGTGGATCGGAATCAAGAAATACACAGCTGAAATGAATAAATATATACATATACACAACTGCATCACCAGGCCAGGTTAACATTCAGGGCTTCCAGATATATTGCAACATTCTCAAAATATTATTTAACACATATTTTCTTTTTAGTACCCCTTCTTCCCTACTGTAGAAGCCATTACAAATATTATACTTCATAAGAACATCAGCTTAGTGCATTTTATAATCTCTCATTCTGTTGAAATGCTCTGCTGAGATTTAATTACTGACATTAAAAGAATTAAAGGTAGATTTAGTAACATTAACTGCTGCTGTGAAAATTTAATTGACTACACAATCAATTAGAAATTGATGTTTTAATTTCTCCCTCTAGTTCTCTTCCCTGGATGTTTACAGGGATGCCATAAGCATCATTTCTCCATCATCCTGTCTCTCATGGTCCAAGCTCCCTGTGGACATCCTTGCCCTTCTACTGCCATCCCAGTAAACTGACGACTCAGCCCTCCTTCTGGTTAAGCCCCCCTGACCAAAAGCTGATGGGGAACAGAAGTAAACATGCAAGCCATTTCACCAGCTGCTGCAAAAGCAATCACCGTTGCCTAAAATCCATTTGCATCAGTTGTTCTATGGTCTACTTCATAAACGACCATTTGCGTGTGGGTAGGAGGGCTCCTGCTATGAACGTACCCCGCCGAGCACGCTGCACCCAAGTGCCAGAACCTTCATCCATTCCACCTCCTCGCCGAAGTCGTCCAACTGCAGGAGAGCTTTCAGTTGCTCCTCTGGCAAGCACAAGTGCTTCCATTTTTCCTTTAGTTCTGCAACATTCACCGTGCCTTTGGGAGAAAGCTTTAAACAAAATCATGGTACCACAATTAAGAACTCCGAAAACCAGAATGAAACTAAGGACACAGTTCGTCTTCAAAATACAGCAAATACTTGGCAGTTGGTCTCCCCAACCATCCCCAACGTTCCTCGACAGCATTGTGCATTTGATAAAGGCTGGTTTGTACCTGTTTGTGCAAGATTTTAAGGAGTCCTGGGGTCAAAGCAGCATCTGTTTTCTCTGTCGCTAAAGGCATTTCAATCCTCTCCTTCACAGGAAGGGGCTCGCCTTTTGACAACGCTGAAAAATACCTAAGTGAACAGGAAGAGCAACAAACTTCAGTGCCAATGGCCATTACAAGCTGCATGGAAGCAAATGCTGTTACAGTTCAGTGAATGAATCCGCACGCTCCCAAGCGGGAGCAGCAGAACATGGCAAGCCACTCCCTCACCCAGCTCCCACCTCCCCCTGCCCAGATACCACCCTTCTTCTTAGCAGGCACCGCTAAGTCTAAAGATCGTTAGACTTTACACACTCCTTTTTATGACGCCACAATAATTCTTAAGGCATCTAACTAATTTCGTGCATGATTGATATACTCAGCCCTGCTTGGCAAAGGCAGAGAGTGATTTATGAACATCAGAGTGGGCCTGCAAACCAAAGCGCAGGCTTTTCCCATTTGATTGATGAGCACCTTAGGGCTGATTTGTTTAACATCCTTCCCCCTCACAAGCGACCCAAAAAAGCATGAGTGGCTATTTACGCTGCAACTCTCTCATCAGCATTTCTGTCCACTCCAAAATAAAATTTAAGACTAGGGCAGAAGGGGAATCAGATTTACACCCTGTTAATTATAAGGCTGCCACCACCTTAAAAGCAACCGCCTCTGCCATAACTGGCCGGCAACCTGAACCGTGCAAAAACCCTTTAAGTTTTCATTCAGTCAGGAGCGGGTCTAACTTAAGGGTTTCTCCACTCGCCCTCCCTCATCCGCCCTGGTCACCCACATCCATGCCCAGGCTATCCCATGCTGTGCAGATACTTCGCAAAATGCACAGCAAGCAGCGCTGCAGAAGTGAAGCAGCGTGATGGCGTAGAAACAGACGCACAGTACGCATGTACATACAACGCCGTGGCTATTTTTCAGCCTGATCCGTTTCCCCATCTGATTATTCACAGGGACAAGCACTGCAGCATCGGCAACGTGTGTGAAACCACAGCCCTGCTCTGCTTCGCGTGGCTCCCTGGTCCAGACCGTGCCCGGCCCCAGGTGCTCTCACGCCAGAGCAGATTCCAGAAAGAGGTGCTCGATCAGCAGCAGCCACCCACCCATTTGCAGGGGCTCCTCCAACCCAGCTGGTGCGATCTTTAATTTTAATCTTAAGCAGAGGTTGGGGGCTGGTCAGATACCCCTGCTCTCTCCAGCCCCGCGTCCCAGCAGGCTCAAGCTACCTGCCCGCTGCTGCTCCCAACTCCTTGCCTGGGACAAGCTGCCTGCCCAGAGGTACCCTGCACCCCACCTCCGTTGCACTCCTAAGATGCCACGCCACCATTTTAAGGTGTTCCCGCTGCTTTTCTCCGATGCTGCAGCTGTAGCGATTCAGCTCCAGGGTTTTTTTTCTTTTTAATGGACTAGCCAGACTCCAGCCTGGCTTTGTTAACAGCCTCCCCTCCCTCATGTTCGCAGCACAGACCTTTTTAATCCCCCCAGGTGAGAATGTCTCACAGATACCTTTCAAGAGCTTGTCCATACAAACAGTAGGACAGGAAAAAATGATAGTGAGCAGTTGAGGTTAAAAGAAAAAAAATCCAACTTTATGAGAGATTTATCATGTGGACTATCACCTAGAAGTCACAACTTTTCAGGCTCTTTTCCTATTTCAGTAACATGTAAGGAGATTCCTTAATTTTGTTCCTGGAAATAACAACACAGCAGCAAAAAGACACCTGGGCAAGTTTAAGGATTAGAAAGTTATTTCTAGGTTTCCTTTAAATTCCAAGAATTTAATTAATTCTCACATGAGAGAAAAAAAAGAAAATAGGTCTTTTAAGGTCTTAAAGGAGCACTTTGGTCTTAAAGGACAGAGCAATTAACAACAAGAAAAAAAATTAAGATGCGCTCTTCTATAAGGAAATAAAACCATTCCAGAAATACACCAGTCCTAAACCTCAATGAAACAGAAAATAAGTACTACGCTATTTTTAGAAGACTCACACACTGCATTAATGCACAGAAGTGCACATGCAGTACATGTTTAATACTCAACACAGCTCCACTGTACAATAAAGAGGAACAGCGAGATTTTGTGGGTCCACACACATAGGGGTACATCACTATGTGAGCATCCTACTTACGCAGCTGCCCACTGCAAAACATCATGAGGCTGAGTTCTGATAGCAGCTTTGGTAAATTGTTTCAGGATATCAGGTAGCTCAGGGGGGATTTTGATCTGCTGAGCACAAAACATGGTTTCCGGAGGAGGCATGGTCTGTTCGCGTTGAGTGACGAGGACCTGGAAGAAATTATAACAACACAGCAGTTCACAGGCGTAGAATGTGAATGAAAAACTGTGTGTCCGTGTGTGTGTGTGGGGAAACAGTGCTCATACCCAAACTCCCTCCTGTCCTACTCAACTGATGAGGCTACCAGGGAACTGACAAACTCAGGAGGGTAAACAGTTGAGCACCGTGAGTCTTAAAACCTTAAACTTGATGGCAACACCAAGCAAAAGGCTGGAGCTTGCACGCCAACCACAGCTCCAGGTAAGGAGAACTACTTTACTTCAAGGAGAGTAAGGAGAACTAGCGCTACTTAAACAGGTATCTTTAGACGGTTTTAAACTTTTTTTTCCCCTCAAACTTACCACAATATGAATTTTTAAAACAGGTAGGCCAGACAAATCACACCACCCACGCCGAGGTGAAAGCTAGCTATGTTGACAACTCGTTACTGCAAGCCAAGGGGAGCCCTGTCATTTTTGTACAGAAGCTAGAGTATGCAGATTGCCAAGTTTCCACTGTGTTTACGCAGTCAAAAAACACTGTAGCAAAAAGTTACTAAATTTGTGCTCCTGGCAGACTTTACATCAAAAAATGAGAGTGCTGAACAAAACATTCACATAAGCAGCAACTACACATTGCAACTTTGCTCATATGGCTCTACGGGTTGGTTTGTCTTATGCGGGATGTAACTCACCTGCTGCAGGGAATCCTGTTCCTCGGGATCTAGAAGAAGGGACAGGCACAGGTTATTGTATGGTCCTTATCCCACTATAGCATCCAAGCGCATTTGGGTGGGAAATCTGGGCGCTCTCCTCATCATTTAAAGGGCAAACTACAGCCTACTTGAGTTGATTCAGCAACAAGAGCTGAAAACGTGTCAGCTATTTGCAGAAGGGAAAAACAGTGAAAGCAATGGCATCGAGAAAGGAATCAATGTAACAGCATCCTTTGTCCCTTTAGGTTTTTTCATTTCTAATTTTTAAGATGAAAATAGGAGTATCTGGCAGGTGGCTCTCTACCCCATCACATGACTTTTCCTGTACTGAAAAAAAAAAATTAAAAGTCAGTGATGGAGGAAGGGGACTGCTGTGACTCGAGGCTCCTCTGAGGATCAACCCACATTCAGAACTTCATTTCTGGAGAAACGCAGACAGGGTACAGCGCCTTCGTTACTCCAACGCAGCAAATTTGCATCGGGGACAGGCTTCAGAGCGTGCACTGAATTACTACATTGGTCATGCGCTTTCAGTAACAACTCAAAAATGCGGCTCTAGCCAAGGGACTGAAGCTGAGGGTGAAAAGTGGGGGATTTTCGGGATAAGCTAGAGAACGGAAAAACCTGGAGGAAGGCATGAACACTCGTGTGCGCACACTTGCTGTTGGGGACGCAGTCAAAGAAAAGAACAAAAATCGGATCAGAAAAGAAAAAGTAGAGAGAAAAAATAGAAGCATGAGACCTGTACCAGGCCGTGAATCGCGGGGTCACAGAAGGCCTGTGGAGGCCATGGGGTCCAGCCCCCCCCCGGCTCCAGCCGGGCCACCCGGGGCGGGCCGCCGGGGGGGGGTG